TTATCCATTCTGTTATGAGCGAAATTTAAATAATTGTTTATGGATTATTGATAGACAAAAGTGGCAATAAACATTATTTTATATCAAACTCTAGTATATTTTAAAAATGACAGAAAATAATATTGTTTTTCTTACGAAGAAGAAGGAGTTACAAGTCTTGGTATTATCTATTTAATGAAAGTCACTTATGCTTTATTTAGTGAATAAGATAATATTATTGTTCATATTTCTTAGGATACATTTAGGGACCTGTTATTATTCCTAGTATCCAAGCAACACAATTTTTACCCTTAACTTTCAGTTTTATTTAATTTTTTGGCTATCATCGAAGAAATCAAAAATTACAAATCTAGCCAGTGAAGTTATATAAACTTGCTGATTTAATTGAAGTTATGGAAATTAATACGTCTCGATTCTATCATATGTACTTTTATATTTTATGGTTAAAAATATATTTGGAAGTTACCAACGCGATAAAAATATTTTAGTTTAGTTTGGAGGGTTTTTATGGTTTTTTTTTCTTAGAGTATTATTTCTAAAAGAAAGTATTACAATATATATTACAAAAAAATTTATAATTGTTATTTGGTTGGATGAGATATATGGACGGTTGAACAAAAATGATCGCATAAAGTATTTTCCAAAAGTGAGATTTAGAAAATATGTTGGTTAAATGTATGGTACGTATAACATAACAAACTTTGGTTAAAACATAACGCCAACAATGTAAGTTTCGTGTGAACTTTGTGGTTGCTTGCATGAAAAGTTGATTCTAACTTATTTGCTATTACATGTTACCATTGGTATTGTTATGAATATTTGTGTGAATTTTATGGACTATTTAATGTAAAAGGGTGGGTGAAATATATATACGGAACAAGTGTATTAACTACACGGTCTTATTAATAGTCGTCGTACAGGGTGTCAGTACACGACGAAGAGCTTACGTTCTGATTAATTAGCCGTAAGCATATTTGTTGTGCCTGACAGTGAGACTTGTTCCCTGGAAATGACAATAGTTCCCTAGTGTGTCACCAAGGGTGAAAAGAAAAAAAATATTTGATTTGTTGTTGCATTGTTTTTATTTTATTAACGTCAATATGCATGAAAACCACAAATTCACCAGGACCTAGGCTTACCCATTAGAACCTTTAATCACACAACCCAGGATATAACATAGCAAGTGGCAACGGGAATGGAAAACAAGCTTCGAGGAAGACGTAGCGCACCAAGTATTTATTTGAATTCCTATTTGCTTCCGCTATTATTATTAATAATGACATTAGTATTTGAATTTTCGAATTTTAGAAGTTTTGAGATCATGTTAAGTTAATATTGGTATTTGAAATTTGGGGCGTTACAAGTTGGTATCAGAGCGATGTTTAAGCAGATTAGTCATTGTTTAAATGCCTAAGCTTAAACAGGAGGAGCGATGCATCGCCTAATATGGCCTGCGTATCATTTGTAGGTACTGTGGATCGTGGAAAGGAAATTGTTGACAGTGGGGTGTCAGGTTAAGGTACGAGTAGGTTACTTCCTCACGAGAAGTTGAAAGCCGAGTTAGAGCTCTCTGATTCGGAAGGCAGTCTGGAACTAACGACTCCACTCAACCTCTCTGAGTGGGATGAAGAAGATGGGGATGTGGAATCTGAGGGGGAACCCGATGAAGATCTTGAGGAGGAGCCTAAAGAAGACCTTGACGAGGAACCCAAAGAAGACCCTAAGGAGGAACCCAAGGGAAATCACATGGAGTACCATGTAGAGCAAAGATATGAAATGTTCCATACGCTCTATATGGAGTTCACGCAAACTAGTCCTGGTTTTTATTGGGAGCAACTATATAAGGAAGAAATGCCCCAAGCATAGCTCGAGATTCACAATCTGAAAAGAAAGATTGAAGAGATAGATGAGCATAAGTCAAGGCTCGTACAGGAAAAGAAAATACGTGTTGAGGCTGCTGAGAAAGTAAGCGCAAGATACGAAGGTTAGAACAGGAAGTCTTGAAGCTAAGGAAACCCACTATCACTAAGTTGTGGGAAGGGTTTGTGCCTCGGGCAAAGCGAGCCAAGGCCACGAAATTTGAATTTCTAAATAGGGTGGTTGGAAGACACCCACCTCAGGCCGAGGTGCTGGTCATCTAAAGTGGTCCTAGAGATCGCAAAGCCAAAAAAAAATAAGGAAGTAATTGAAAGAGGGAAAGCAAATCTTGAAATATGATGACATTGTGTTTAAAAAGTAGGAAGTAGGAGTGTAATAAGTTGTTTTTCTTTTCTCTTGGTTGTTGGCTTAAGTTGTTTGATGTGAACAAGACATATGTCTCTTTTTGAAGTTTTGATAATTTGGAATAAAATTTATTTTTATATACTTATTGTGACATAAACATAAATATGTAGTTAATATGTCTTTAAGAAGATCTAGGAGGGTCACTAGGGCCCCCCCTAGAAGAAGAACACATCCTAATCGGAGCTTATGTCAGAGCATTAGGAGATGTACCAGAAACCCTATTGATCCAAAATGCTAATCGTGGACGGGGCCAAGGAAAAGGAGGAGGCAGGGGTAGAGGAAGAGGTTGAGGAGCTATTACAACACCAATACCTGCACAATCGGCCCATGGCAACTCCGAATCACACCGTGGTCGAGGTTGAGGTCACGGAATGTCACACCCCCAAAACCGGAACAACGGAAACGTTCGGGGGTGGAGGACGTCATGTCAAGTATCACGAGATATGTACATTGTAAACACTTTCTTTCTAAATGAAATGGTTGTTCATTACTTGCTTACCATATACATATCTCGTGATACTTGACATGATGTCCTCCACCCCCCGAACGTTTCCGCCATTCCGGTTTTCGGGGTGTGACAGATTGGTATCAAAGCATTGTTTATAGTGAACTAAGTATATCAACCGATAAAAGATATGCGTCTATAAATACAATGGGGCTTAATTGCTCTAGATAATGGTATATTTTAGAGTATAGCTTCAAGTTATAAAAAATATACCTACTTGCTCATACATGTACATAATAGAACTAGGATCACGAGGAGAACAGAACTAAAAGTATTTAAAGGTTGGGCACTGTCGTCAACCTGAACAGTTATGTAATCATAGCGAGGATCAATATAGCCTAATCAACTATTTTCATTCGAGATGTGACCGACATGAGTTTGGGAATGATGTGGTGTTGCAACAGAGTTAAAACTTACTGAAACACCAGCCAAGAGAACGCCAGAACAAGTACAATTAGAGTTAGGGTACTATGGGAGTATTCTATAATACGATAACGCGATAACAAGTTTAGAACACACCAAGTACATTACGTTAGAATACTATAGGAGTATTTTAGTCCAGATAAATAACTTATGTGATAAGTTAAAAGACCCTTGCGGATTGGTCTATAATCTTACAGGGTATATTCATAAAGTTTTATCTGTGACCGACGCTTCGCTATCCATTCCTTTTAAGGAAGTAGTGTTGAGGTGGGATCAATTATTTGAAGGTCTATTTAACCTTCAAATATATACAATGCAAACTGGTGTACCTAGTACGATTATAGGAGAATTCCGTAAGGATCACCCCATAAAATTACCTTAAAGCTCATAGGTTCTTTAATCACTTTCATTCTCGCACGACAAGCCCTGATAAACGTAACCACTTCCTCATAGTAGACAACAGAAGAGTTCAGGAGGAACAAGAACAAGTTCAGGAGAAGTTTCAAGGAAAGATCAGACGGAGTAATCAAAACGTCTTACGCATCACACTAATAAATATTAACACTACAAGAAAAATACCCTTTTACGACGCGCAAACCACGACACTCATTGATTTATGTCGCGCATTACTGCGTGCCCTTAAATTAGTGTCTAAATAAAAACAAAAAAAAAAAACACGGAGGGCACCTATAATAAAATGTGTGTCGTCTAAGAGTGTCGCTTTATAAATTTTAATACAAGGCGCGTTCCATCCTTTAATAACTAGGGGAAATGAAATCCTAAGAAATTAAAAACCCCGCCTTCCTTTTTTCTTCTTTCCTTCTTGCCCTTATTATCTTCTCCTTCCTTCCCCCTCCCGACATTGACTGCCACCTTCTTCTTCCCTCACACTTTGACCATCGTTAGGTACCATTCCCGGTCATCGACGTCGATCAAGGCAACAGTAGGCATGCCATCTCCGAAGTTATGAGGCAACAGAGATGGTTCCAAAGAAACAAGACGCCATGCCTGTGACTTTAGGGATGGAAGATATCAACAATTGGACATTATGTCTTATAGATGAATTCATGTGACCTTTTCTGAAATTATGCTTGAATTTACTTTGAAAAAGGTTGATATATTACATAGACATATGTTTTTGGCGATCTTTATCGATATGATGTTGATAAAGGAGATTGGAAGCTAGTTTCTAGCCCTAACAGCCCCCTCCACTCAGTCCATTTTCTGGTTATCGAATGGTATGTTCATACCTTTCTGATTTTCCCTATGTCATCCATCTTTTAGGGTTTCTAATTTGAGCCAGCGAATCCTCATTTTCTCTCTCAGATTTGAGACTCCTCTTTCATCAGAAATAGGAGGTAGCAAGGTTAATTTTATGAGATTCGGAACTATGACTCGAATAACAGGTTGAAGATCAGAAATCGAAGGTTGCAAGTCAGATTTGGGATCGAAAGTCAGAGGTTCAAGGTACGATCGGAAGCATCAGAATGCAGAAAACAAAAACGGAGGAGGCATCAGGTTCGAAAGTTGTTATCTTCTTCTTCATGTATGTGCCCTAGATTTCTTTCTGTTATATTCAATTTTTAAAGATTCTTTTATTCCCTAAATCAGTACGAAGACTGTTCTCTTTTTCTCCATCTGTTTTTGGAATGAAAACCTCTCTTGTTAACCTAAAGGGTATTTTCGGATTATTTTTTTTTGCTAATTAATATTTGATGTTGATTTTTTTTGTTTGGTTTGTTGTGTAGGGGATTTAGAAATGTGGTGATTACATAGGCAAATTAAGCAAATGGAACTTGCAGTTGAGCAAGCTACTCAATCACGTTCAAGAAGAAGCAAGTGGCAGTTTATGGGGACAAGTGATGCTGGTGCTAAAGAAGAGTGTCACCGGGTGTATTGTGTGTCTGAAAGAACAGAAGGAAATCCCTCACTAGGTGTATTGTGCTAAAGAAGACCTTCTGCCCATTCCATTATAATTACTGGTGATTCTTCTCGGTTAATGATATCAGGACATAAGAGAATGATATATGTAAGCAATCCTAATGTTCCTCTCAACTGTTGAGTTATGTCAAGATAATGATATATATTTCTTTTCAGGTTGTAGATGTTGGAAGCTAGAATTTAAGTCACTAATTCATCACATGTTGTAAGGATTCAAATTCAGAATTACCACCTGTAGTCAACTATTTTGGAGATGACTATATATTCAATCTAGAGACACAAGTACTCTAGCTAGTATATGTGTATGTATGATGTTTATAGGGCTAATCTGATGTAATTTTGTATGTCTGTTTGAGCAGGAAATGCTAGTTCATTCCAAAAGTCACTTGTTTTCTGCAGTAGGTAGCATTCAAACACAAGTTGGAACCTTTCTTCAAGATAAAGGCAATTTTTTTTTCTATCATAGATCAAAAGAATAGCCTTCATCTTAAATGATCTTCTAAAAGTTTATCTTCCTCAAAAGGTTTATGATTCTATGTTATTTTCTAGAAGAACATGGGAAGGTGGTCAATACAATAGGGATGAAAAGAGTCGATTGGATGATCTGTGTTTAGCAATGGAGCTAGGAGCTGATCACATCGATGTTGAGCTTCAGGTTCCTTTTTCTCTCTAGGTGTAAATGGTGCAGCTGGTCATTGCTTTCTTTGGCTCATATATAGGCATATAAACCATAATTTATTGCAATGCAGTTATTAACTCATTAACATTTAATAAACTTATTTTTTTCTCAAAAACAGAACAATTGAATCAGGGCAAATTTGTAAGAACTAAGAAGTTGGACTTAGTAGGGAAAGCCTCATTTTCCTGACTTTCTGTATTAACTTCTTTATGGATTAAGTTAAAAATAGTTTGTCTTATACTCTTATCCTGTATTATCACTTATGCATTTGTTTTTTCATATATTATGGTATTTTAAACTCATGGGATTATAATGTCTTTTAGATACACAGATAGAATGAAAAGTGTTGATCATCAAATTACAGTGCTTTTGTATGATTTATTTATAAAAAAAGTAATGCTTGTTTTCCAGGGTGAGAAGAAGAAGAAAATAAAAACTGAAAATTATTGGGATTGGGAATTGGCCAATGAGACAAAACCGATATGGGTAATTTAAAAAAGTGATTTTTTTTTTTTAACTTTTTGAGCCATTTGTTTTCTTAACAATTTGTTAATTTATATAATGGAAATGCTGATGAGGAATCCTAAAGAATTGAAAAAGATCCTTACAATGAGTTTTACAAGAAGACATTTGATGAGTTTCTTGATCCTCTTGCACACACTCCTTTCACCACAGACGTACTTGTTCTACATTTTTCTTACATTTTCTGGATTAATTTACTAAATTTAAATCTATATATTTATTTAATGTATTCATTTTTGTAGGGTGAAGTAGAGTTTAGGGGTTATTGTTAATAACCAAACAGTAGTCGGAGGGGGGAAGAAGCATCACGGGAGGTAGGGGTTATTGGTTCCTGATTAATCTATTTTATGTTGCAGATAACATTATTTGCAATATCAGAAGACAATATACAGATACAAGAATAATAAACAAATAAACTAAGGAACTTTGTTATTCTGATTACCTAACTTGTTTTTGCAGTCAACATCTCAAATGAAGAGCAGGCTTCTATTAGTGTAGCTGTTCCTTCTGTACATGAGACTGAAGGTGGTTCTGCTTCTTTAGGTCCCACTTACAGGGATTCCTTCTTTCACTACAAGGGTACTTATGATTCTGTACATCCATGCTTTTGATTTTATGATTTGTAAAAGTAATTTCTTTTCTACTTATTGCTTTCCGATTAATTTCAGTTAATTGCAGGTGGTTGGAGACGTGCACAATCCTTGGAAAATATTCTTCTTCCTCTGAATTCTTACAACTTCTTTCATAGGAAAGGTAGATTAATCACAAATTGATTTTTTGCGGAATCAATTTCCAGTTTCGGCCTTCATCAAAATGTACATATAATTTATAAGTTATAATAAGAAATTTAGATAAGTAAATACTTAATAGATTAATAATACAATTATGTTTGTTATTTTATAACTTTTATAGTTTTATATTTTCTTGAATTTCAACGTGACAACTGTTAACTGTTCCTTATGCAAGGTTGTTAGTTGTCCCTCTTTTAAGGTGTATGTGTGATTGTGATCATTCTGTTAGAAGAAGTGTCACACACAGGTTTGGTGCCCTTGTTCGTCTTTTACCCCTTGCACGTGGTGTCTGATATTGTTGCTTTGAACCAAAAACAGGTTCAATTTTCGAAGTCGCCATCTTTCCAAATAGAATCCAAAGGTTCAATTTCCTGAATTAATCGTCACTCTTGTTCTATTGCTACACGAAATTATAGTTTTTTGCTCTAAAATGTCGTGATGTTGGGGAGGAAACTGTTTCTAGAGTCTGCTGGATGGTATAGAACCTTCTAGAAATATTTTTAAGTATAATTATCATGTGTTATCTTATTCTTTCCTATCAAGCATATATGATAATATACATATTCTTCTTGTTTTTAGGGTTTGTGTCTGGACTGTTGTGATGTTGTGTGTTCTTCCTATACTCGATGCTTACACACTCATCACAAGATTCACAAGGGTTGGTGGTGAACTTTTTGGCATGTTGATTTCAGTGTTCTTTATGCAAGAGGCTATTAAGGTACATGCAGATGCACTTGTTAATGTTTTGACTTTCCTTAATTTTGAGAGATAATTCATTCAGTGTGATCTTATGTTGGATATTTTAGGGAGTTATTAGTGAGTTCCATGTTGGATATTTTAGGGAGTTACTAGAGATGTTCCTCCTGGTGTTCCTAGACGCCTTTTTTGTCCCCTTCCTTGGGAACCTAGATCTTTGTCCCATTGGACAGTCATTAAGGTATTTTTTATAATAACAATGTACTTTGTTTTCTACCCATAGTAGTAACATACTTACATATTGCTATTACAAGTACATTTCTATTATTGGTAAAGAAATGTAAATATTGGTAGTATATCATCATTAAAAAATTGAAGTATGCTACTATTATGGGTGAGGAAATGAAGGTAGATTGTACCTTTATTAGAAGATAAAGATTAATGTTATTTCAAGATATGGTGAAGGTTCCAGCAGTTCATATTTTCACTGCTATAATACCAGCACTGATGATAGCATCCTTGTACTTTTTTGACCATAGTGTAGCTGCACAAATGGCACAACAGAAAGAATTCAATCTTAAAAACCCTTCTGCTTACCATTATGACATATTGTTACTTGGATTCATGGTATTAAATATTAATACCCTTCCTTAATGCCTTTTTCCCTTTTCTCCATTTTATATATTATTATTATTATTTACATTTCAACAACCATTACATGTGTGAAATTAGACTCTGATTTGTGGTCTGGTTGGTATCCCTCCATCAAACGGTGTCCTCCCACAATCACCCATGCACACAAGGAGTCTCGCAACTCTTGAGAGACAGGTTACCCATGCAATTATAAAACAACTTTTTTCAACAAATTATAAGGTTTTTTTCATTAATAATAAAATCTTATACTTCGTGGTTTGGTTTTTTCAGATTATGAAAAAGAAGATGGTAAAGATCGCAAAGGAGGGCAAGAAAATGGAAGCAAGCAGCTTAGAAATCTATGGAAAAATGCATGTTGCTTTTGTTCAAATGGATCCTCATCCACAAGTACTTTAGTTACAATTTTAAAGTAGAATGCAGTTATTTGTATATAAATGAGTTCATTTTTTTTATAACATTTACTCACTATTGGAATAATTATTTGTATTTGACATATTAGTGAAATGAATTATCTTTGTTATTTATGGTATTTTATTTTGTATTATGAGACTTTTAAGGTATTATTTAATTTGAAAATTAGTAAATCTATAAATAATACTTTTTTTAAACATTTAAAATTATGATATGCAAAAATGTGTGTCATCTTCATTTATGACATGGCCTTTCTTGACAGTGGCTTTCTTGATACGCATTGCATTTCATTAACACGCGTCGTAAGGTTACGACACGCGAATGCGTGTCGTCTTCCTTTATGACATGGCCTTCCTTGATACGCATTGTGTGTCGTAAACGCGCGTCGTAATTGAGCGTTGTAAATGAGCGTCGTAAATGCGCGTCATCTATAGGCGACGCGCAAAAGCGCGTCGTCTCTCTTTATGACAGGGCCTTCCTTGACGTGCATTCGCGCGTCGTCTGAGCATTTTACGACGTGCAATGAGCATCATAAAAGGCTGTTTTTCTAGTAGTTTAATTAGGTTAATTTATCGAGCAAGTGGAAACACTGCTCACATTACATGTGTTAGAATTATTTACTTACATGCAGCTGGTAACAGTTATTCAGGAAACAAATATTCATTCGAGGATAGTTATTTCAAATTCATAGAGTTTATTTGGTATAGACTCATTTATGAATTGTTCCTAGAACCCTGTGGAAGTCAGGACCCGATACATCCAAAACTAGGATAACCTTGTCTTTTCAGCTTTCGGCTTGTGTCCGTTGCTATAGACTTATTCTGTCTTATCCTTGTTTTCTTTTAGCAAAGATGCCTCCTCGCAGATCAACCAGACATGCTACTCCGATAACTCCCATACCTTTTCCCCAAATCGATGTAGCAACTCTGAATGCTGCAGTGGCCGAGGCTGTGGCAACAGCCATGGCACAATATCATCCCATCAGTATAGGTCGAGGTGAAACACCTACTGATTCTACACAAGGTGAGGTCCCTGTGCGCTAGGGAGAGTTCTCCTACAAGGACTTCACCAGATGCCAACCATTGTCCTTTAAAGGGACTGAAGGAGTCATTGCTCTCATGCAATTATTCGAGAAAACAGAGTCGGTTTGCGAAATCTATTTATGCCCAGAAGGAAGCAAAGTGAAGTTTGCTGCCTGCACCTTCGATGGCAAGGCGCTAACATGGTGGAACAACCATGTTAAGTCACTAACCCTATCAGTGGCAAACTCAATAGGTTGGGAAAACCTAAAAGAGTTAATGCGGGAAGAATATTGCCCATTAGGAGAGATTCAAAAACTAGAACAATAGCTATGGGATCTCACTATGGTCGGCTCAGACATAGTGACCAACACGGATCGGTTCATCGAACTAGCAGCTCTATGTACCGAGATGATTACCTCGGAGAAAACCAAGATAGAAAGGTACATTTGGGGTCTGACTGCTCCGACCCAAGGAAATGTGCTGTCTTCTAACCCAGCCACGTTCGCTAGTGCTAAACGCTTGGCTTAGCGACTCATCGATCATGGAGTCCGCCATAGCGTGAAAGTCCCTATTCCCAAGTCATCAAGGGAAGAGGACTATAATCAGGAGTCAGAGAACAAGAGAAAGAAGAAGCGAACAACACCAGACACCCTGCAAGAGCAACATGCGAGTACTATGTACGCCGCTACAACGCCTACTGCTTCAGCACCTGCCAGTCGATATGCTGGAAACCTTCTGAAATGTGGAAAGTGCAATTTCCACCTATCACACCCCGAAAACCGAAGGCGGAAACATTTCCGGAGTTGAATCCACGTTGAGTATCAAATCCAATGCACATAGTAAGTAAAGTAAAACAACCATTACATTACATAAGAAAAGTTTTACAGTTGTTTCAAAAGTAAAATTTGTACTGATGTGATACATAGCATATAAATATAAACAAAATGAAACGGGTCTTCTGAGTACTCTGTCTTCAAGCAAAAAGGATCTTCGGGTACCTGTTTTAATGCTGACCTGAGAACACAAGCGGTTTGAAAATCAGCATAACGCTAGTGAGTTCATAAGCGGTTTTGTTTGTGAAATTGTTCAAGTTTCCTTTCTGTTTCTGAAATGTTACGCACACCAATAAAATCTCATGTTTTCTTAATAAAGGTTGGTTATCGTTTGAAAAAAAACATGTTTTCTCTTGTAAAGATGTATAGTTAAGTTATCTGGATTGACATACTATTCTGGTTATGTACCAATGTATTTCCTAGGAAAGTCCCATACTTTCCTGATTTGTATGTTATCAATTGTAAAAGATGTAAAGTAAGGTTATCTGATTTGTTACCCTTTCTGGTTATGTAATGTTTTCCCCAGGAAAGTCCCGTACTTTCCTGAATGTTGGTTACCATATGTAAATGATGTGTTCTTGTTAGACCTGGTTATGTACAAGGTTTCAAAGGAAAGTCCCATACTTTCCTGAATGTTAGTTACTATATGTAAAAGATGTTTTCTAGAGAACTGGTTATCTTGTTAATTGTATGAGGTTGTTCATTATTACCATAAGTAAATCTCTGTTATCCTAATTGTGAGTTCCATAACCATACAATGGACTAAACCTGTGGCAATAAGTAGTCCACATACTTATGACTTTCGTCACCCTTGAACCAATTCGGTTCGGCTGCAGCTAATAGCCAGGTGTGGGGTAGTCAGCCCCGTATAAATCTATACACTCAAGTCACGCTCTCTAAATCCCAGAGATTCTGGTTACGGGTGTAGTCCTCTACTCGCATATCTCTGTGGAGTGTTCGCCGAGGACGTGTCTCCAATCATACAGGATTAACAAATTTACTAGTAATAATATGATAGTCCTCCACTCGCGTATATATGTGGAGTGTTACCGAGGACAAAACAGTGTACAGGTATTATGTTCAAATTTTCTAATGTCATGCTTTTAACTGATAAAATATGGAAAGCCATTTGTGAAATATATGTAAAACATAACAGTTTAAAACCCATTTCACAAATATATGTTACGTGATCTGTATGTTCAAACGGTTATCAGCTGTAATAATCAGTGTTAAAAGCATATAAAATGTGAAATACACATATGAAAACATGTTTTTGAGTACAAGTAATCCCTTCTACTTTGCTTGTGTTCCCCCTGAAAACAGTGAAAACAGTGAAAAAGA